CTTCACTTGTAGTTTAGTTACGGAGACGGCTTCTTTCCCTAAACCTCATGAAGCAACCTCTGCTAGCATCAAATTTTTCTTTTGCAGCTTTCTCACCTCTCTCAGCCTTCACAGAATTGAAGAGAGTTAGGGCCTCGCTCTGGATTAGGCTTTGGCTTAACGGAATGTTGTGGCTGGTTTGATTTTTTATCCAGACCACTAAGACTTTCTTCATATCAGCAATAAGGCTGTTTCACTTTGTTTTCGTTTGTGTGTTCACTGAGTAGCACTTTAATTTCCTTCAAGAACTTTTCCTTTGCATTCACAACCTAGCTACCTGTTTGGTGCAAGATACCTATCTTTCAGCTTATCTTGGCTTTTGACATGCCTTCTGCACCGAGCTTAATCATTTCTAGCTTTTGATTTAAAGTGAGAGACGTGCCACTCTTCCTTTCATTTGAACACTTAGAGGCCACTGTAGGGTTATCAACTGGCCTAATTTCAATATTGTTGTGTCTCAGGGAATAGGGAGGTCTGAGGAGAGGGAGAGAGATGGGGGAACATCTGGTTGACGAAGCAGTCAGAACACACCCAACATTTATCAATTAAGTTCGTTGTCTTATATGGGTGCGGTTCGTGGTGCCCCAAAACAATTACAATAGTAACATCAAAGATCGCTGATCACAGATCATCATATCAGATATAATAATGAAAAAGTTTGAAATGTTGTGAGAATTACCAAAATGTGACAGAGAGAAACTAAGTGAGCATATGTGGCTGGAAAAATGGTGCTGACTGATTTGCTCGATGCAGGGTCGCCACAAACCTTCCATTTGTAAAAAATGCAGTATCTGCGAAGCGTAATAAAGTGAAGCACAATAAAACAAGGTATGCCTATATAACAGAGGTGGGCAACAGGTAAATGAGCTCAAGGGGGCGCAACAGTACCATGAGAGAGCATAGGTGACTCTATAAAATAAGCCTAGAGGTAAGGTGATGCTGGTCCAGCAATAGACAAAAGTGAGATGCTATAATAAATTTACTCAATTCTTTTCATCTTATTCATTCTAAAGATGATAAAAATAGTGAAAACTTAAAAAGTTTTGGGAATTTATCTAATTAATTTCTGTAGAGAAAAATCTACCATTGAACTAGGTAACCATCTTCCTCTTTGTTGAAAGATGTTTCCAGGCTACAACTTTGTGGTAAAGGTAGCTCTAGAATTCAGGGCCTTTTTTGTTTGCTTGTTTGTTTTGGAGTGAGTTGGTGGCAATGAGCACTATGCTCACTGTGACAAAATGTCCTCTTTGTCATGGATGAATAAAAAATAGATTCTTAAGTTGGTTGATTTTCAAATTTTTTTTAACATGTCTTACACAGGAGTATGTTCCTAAAGCATCTAAGCTGTAAACACATAGATAACACAATCACAGTACAGTGAAGGCAGTATCAAATGGCTGAAAACCGTAAACAGTTTTAGCTTAGTAATGTATGTATTTCTGTATTACAAATATGTGCCAAATCTTCCTTCCCATGTTGGAGAACACTGCTACACTTTTTGACTTACATATATGTACTAGAATAACTCATGAATTTCTGATCACAGAAATCAAAGACAATTTTATATTATCAAAAAATAGTTGTAACAGTTTAAAGAAATCTTACTAGAAGCATAATACTGTACACAAAACGAAAAAATGTACAGCTTGATGGATTTTCACAAACTGAACACATCCATGGAACTAGCACTCAGCTCAAGAAACAGAACATTACTAGCTCTTCTTGTGCCAATTCCCAGTCATTACTTACCCTAAGGGTATATACTATCCTGATTTCTATCAACAAAGATTAATTTTGCCTGTTTTTATACTTTATATAAATGGAATCAAACAGTATATGTTGTCTGTTTGGCTCTTTTGCTCAACACTATGCTGCTAGATTCATCCATATTGCTGCATATAGTTGTAGTTCATTTGTTCTTATTGCTGTGAAGTATTCCATTTGCAAAAAGGACAAAGTTAGAGAACCTACACTACCTGATTTCCAGGCTTACTTAAGGTTAAAATAATCAAGACATGAATGAATCTCAAAATAATTAAGTGGAAAGAAGGAGTTCCAAGTAATAAAGCAGGCATTATGTGATTCCATTTACATGAAACTTTAAAAAAAAAATTTAATTTAGAATAAAAGAAAACTGTTAGTGGTTACCTTAGGCTAGGAGTAGGGATTGATTGGGAAGGGGTATGTGCAAACATACTAGAGTGATACAAATATTCTACATCTTGATTGTGGAGGTGGCTACAATGGTGTATACATCCATTAAAATTCATTCATATACAATTAAAATGGGTGCATTTTATTGTATGTAAATTATACCTTAATAAAGTTAATTTAAAAAATTGTTAACATGAAGGTTGGAAGACAAAGAAGTCTTTGATTAAATAATAAACATATTTTAGTATCTCTAATTGTAGAGCTTTCTTTTTCTAATCGGTATCTTTTATATTTTCAAACTTATTTTTCTAACATTTTAGTACAGTAGATAGTAGATATACTTTGCAAATATGAAAATTTTTATGATTCAAAGCAACAGAGCTGAAAAGGAACTAAAGAGCTGAATGAATCACCTGCATCCATTTTCTTCCCTAGCCTAGAGCACTACATGCCAGAGTAGGATGACTTTCTTTTTAGTGTCTGAAAGGGAGAGTCAAATTTTAAACACTGAAAGTCTACTCTTAGACTATGTTCCAACATATATGTTTGCCAGGATCAACTGTAAAATGAATGAAAAAAAAGAATGAAGTCAGGGTTACCCTTAAGGTTGAAAAGCATCTCAGATGATGCAAGAATTAATGTGTTAAAAAGTATGCCAGATGTTACCATACTGGCACTTCTACAAATGAGAGAACAATATAAGGAAATCTTAAGACTCTAAGCAATATTATTAATATTCATTGATGTGTACTTTAGGCTAAGCATTATGTTAAAACTTATATAAACATTATCTCATTTAAATCCATCTACAGGGTTGCTATGAGTCGGAATCAAAACGACAGCAACAGGTTTGGGTTTTTTTTTTATAAAGATTTAGGAGCCCTGGTGGCGTAGTGGTTAAGAACTCGGCTGCTAACCAAAAGGTTGGCAGTTCGAATCCACAAGCTGCTGCTTGGAAACCCTATGGGACAGTTCTACTCTGAGTCAGAATCAACTCGATGGCAATGGGTTTTCGTTTTTGTAAAGATTTAAGGAGTCCTGGTGACACAATGGTTAAGTGCTTACCTGCTAACTGAAAGGTAGGCAGTTTGAACCCACCAGCCACTCCACGGAAGAAAAGACATGGCGATCTGCTCCCAAAGATTCCAGTCTAGACAAATGAGGCACAGAAGTACAGGGACAAGGACTAGAAGGCAGGAGGGGACAGGAAAGCTGGTAATAGGGAACCCAAGGCTGAGAAGGGACAGTGTTGACATGCTGTGGGGTTGTTAAACCACTGTCATAAAACAGTATGTGTACTGTTTAATGAGAAACTATTGGTTCTGTAAACCATCTAAATTACAATTAAAAAAAAAAAGATTCCAGTCTAGGAAATCCTATGGGGCATGTCTTAGGCTGGGATCTCTAGAGAAGCAAAACCAGTAAAGTGTATAAATATATATAGAGAGAGAAATTTATATCAAAGAAACAGCTCACACGAATGTAGAGGCTAGAACGTCCCAAGTCCATGGATTAGGGTAGAGACCTCTCCCAAGTCACACAGCCGCAGAAGCTGGCGAGCCCAACACTGGCAAGTCAGAGAGCAGGGCTCCGCTCACAGGCTGTGAAGATGAATGAATCCGAAGTTCGGCAGATAAACTGACAGCTCAAGTATCAAAAACCGAGATGAGATGACAGGAGGCAGCCGCAGGATCCGGAATGAGCAAAAAACCAGAAAGTCTGCTTATATTCAGATGAAGACCACACCCCCAAGGAAATTCCCTTTCATCTGACTGGCTACTCACAGTATATTCAATCATGGGAGTGATCACATTTAAACACTGAGAATCATGGCCCAGCCAAGCTGACACACAATCTTAACCATCACAGGCAATTCTACTCTGTCATATAGCGTCTCTATGAGTCAGAATCAACTCAAAGGTACACAACAACAATAAGCATTTAAGAGAGAGATTTCCATTTTACAGATAAAGAAACTGAGACTTACAGAAATGAAATAGCTCAAAATCAAATAGATAAAAGTGGTAAACAGGGACTGAATGCATCTGACTCCAGGGTTCTTTACTGCTTTGTCATTTTTGTCTCCAATTACGCTATTTTATACTACCTTTCATGTTACAAAGAGGCTCAAGTATGTGAGCCTCTACAAATAAAAGATAACTGTACTGGTTCTCCCTAAACTTGAGTTAGTAGATCTTGGGAACGGTACCAAGAAAGCAGTTTCAAACACATAATAAAGCTTTTGATTCTACAAAATGTCACTCCTACATAGGATAGCTATCCAACACTAACAAAGATTACACGGATTCAAGGACTACTGGTTCCAAATAATTTTCTCTAACTTTATTCCCCCATCAGCCCAAAAGTCCTACAAACTTACTACAAATCAAGTAAAGATATGAAATGGATCTCAGGAAAATTTGGTTTTACTGGTAAGAGTTCAGCTACAGCAGTTCTCTCTTTCCTCATTTCTCTTTTTTACAGTTGTTCACTTTTCTTTGCATAATTCTTTCGGATCTTAAAGTTTCATACATTTCCTTAGCTTCCATCCCCAGACATTTTGCTAGTATGGATTTGTTTTATTCAAAATAATTTTGTTTTATTAATTTTTGAAATGCACAGTAATAAAGTAATGGAGAATTGTTATACCAGACTGACTGAAATTGTCTATTTTAAGGACAAGACAAAAATATTCACTAATTGATTACCCTGTTTAGAAATATATAAATTATTGGTTTCAGGCAAAAAGTAAATTTGAGCATCCATTAATTATATTTGTGCAAGGAGTAATGCAATTTTCATCCTACCTGAAATCACATGCTGTTGTGACTTCTGCTCCTCCACCCACTGCCCATCCTTGAACCAATGCAACACTTATTAAAGGAAGTCTGTATATTGGAAAAAAAAAAGGAAAAATGAGTGTTAATATTTTTAATTTCAATATTGATTTACAAATGTTATAAAAGAATTTAAGATGCAGTAGAAAGTGAAATTATTGCACTGTGTTTATAACAAACACAAGTCAAAGATCAGTGGATCCTTGCAACTGTGCCCATAGGAAAAACACCAGTATAATACTGAACACATAGTAATGCATACTAAATGTCAATGTAAGTTTATCAAAATACCTCCCTGAATCATTTTATATTTTTTTAACCTATACTCATTGTCATGGATTGAATTGTGTCCCCCAAAAATATGCGTAGCAGTTTGGCTAGGTCATGATTTCCCAGTATTGTGTGACTTCCACCATTTTGTCATCTGATGTGATTTTCCTATGTGTTGTAAATCCTACCTCTATGATGTTAATGAGGCAGGACTCAATCTACAAGATTAGGTTTTAAGTCAATCTCTTTTGAGATATAAAAGAGAGAAGTGAGCAGAGAGACAAGCTCCTCATGCCACCAAGAAACAATAGCCAAGAGAACAGCACATCCTTTGGACCAGAGGTCCCTGCACTGACGAGGGGACGATTGATTACAAGGACCTTCCTCCAGAGCCGACAGAGAAAGAAAGCCTTCCCCTGGAGTGGGCACCCTGAATTCAGATTTCTAGCCTCCTAAACTGTGAGAGAATAAATTTCTCTTTGTTAAAGCCACCCACTTGTGGTATTTCTGTTATAGCAGCACTAGATAACTAAGACAGCCACAATGTAATTTTCTTCCAAATAAATGGATATTTTTGTATATATCACAGCTCCTGGAACTTCCCAGCAGCTGCCCATTAAGAATAATTCTACTTGACATTGCCTTAGTCCGTTTTTATTGATATCAGGGGAAGGGTGGGAAAATTAGGGCTATCCAATGAAAGGAAATGTGGTACAGAAGACTGAACAACTGTGTCATTATGAAGGTTCCTATCAAAAATCTTTTCAACGTTCCCTGAAATGATTCACAGACTAATAAAAGGAATGATTCTGTGGTAAAAATAAATCTCTTACTTTTCCTGTTTGTAAAGATTCATTTCGCAGGCATGTGTAAATATTAAAATGTAAATCTAAAATGTTTTGAAAATAATTTTTGTAGGCACTAACCAAAATGCAAAGCTGTAGGCCTAAGGTAATTGAAAATTTCTTAACACACACTGCCCCCAAATAGAAAGAATTATTTTCTTTAAACAATGACTTTTAAGACTTATGAATATGAATTTCTGTAGTTTTTGTGATTTCTAATTTGTCTACATTTAGAACACAGAAGTGGGAAGCTAATCATCCCAAGCATGTCAGAGTTTGTAACCACAAAAGCAGGTGATAGGCCAAATATCAAGTTTTCCCCTTTCTTCTTCACCTAAGTCGCAAAGTGAATCCATTTTCCTCAGGTAGCTTTAAAACTCTTGTCAAATTCATTGTCTGTTTTCTCCTTCCTCTGAATACAGGTCACTTTATTAAACACTCTACTAGTTTTGAATATTAGGTACTCTCTATGTGTCATCTCTTGAATACTGTCTTTATTCTACTGTTACGTCAGTACTTAACTTTCCCTATGTCTACGCCTTAACATAGCTAGTAATATAAGCTCTTTAGGAAAAAAGGCTGTCTTAAGATTTTTTTGTCCCTCATTTCTCTTATTTTTTAAATATTTATGTATACCTCACCTACATTTAATTAAATGACTGTCTTCATGGCACAAAGAAATAAGTTCATCATTAGAATAATTATAATTTGAAAACCAGTTATTAATTTTAACTGCTGCAAATAATGAGGATTTATTTTTGGTCTTTTAAAAGTCTTATTTTAAAAAGAAAGATACATTACCTCATGAATCTTGTTAAGGTGTTTTGCATGAACATACATAAGGCCACTCCATCCTTTAAATAAGAATAAGCATAAACACACACAAAGGTATAATGCAAATGTATTTATATAAGAAATTAAAAACATTTTCACGATTTAAAAAATAAAAAATACACCTAACCTTTTTTATGACGTTTCTATTTAAAACTCTTTGATGCTATCTGAAATGCAAATGATGCTACATTTGATCTCCCATCACATATCCCAGACAGTATGAAGTCCTACTCAGTAACTTGAGGGTAAGAGGCATACGACATACCTACCTTTTACTACTATAAACTGTAATCCTTTAAGAATATAAACATACAAAAGAAGGAGGGGAGGACAGGAGAAATTATGTTAAAATTTGATTCTCTGTACCTTTGAGGATTTTATCTTGCTATGTGCACAAATTGCAGATTTCTTTATTTCTCAAAAGCAGTCTAACTCACTGCCTCTTCTTCACCTCACATTCTTTCTTCAACCCAGTGTAATCTGGTCTTCATCCTTCTCCCAAAAGACTCCCCTCAAAGGTTTCTAATAATCTATTTGTCAAGTTAAATAGCTTCGTATTTCCATCTTCCTCTCTCTCTATAACATCTGGTACATTTCTTCAGCCAATGTCTTTAATCTGATACTCTTATCTTCTCACTTTCTAGTGACATTCTCACTCCTGACTCTCTATTTTTTTGATTATGCTTTTCCATTTTTTTTCCTCGGATCATCTTACTCAGCTAACCCTCTAAAAGCCTGTATTCCCCCCAAAATCCAACGCACTTTTTTCCCTCTATCTAAAAATTCTTCCTTGGAAATTTCATTCACTCCTATTGCTTCTACTACTGTTTTAATGTAGAGTTCCAAAATCTACTAGACATTTCCACATTCTTCCAACACCTCAAACTCAACATGGCAAAATCCAACTGAGAGTCGAAGAAGCTGGGTTTGAACCTTAGTGTTACCATTTATTAATAGCACAAACTTGAGCAAGTCTGAACTATGAACTTCAGTTTCCTCATACATAACACAGGAAAAGTACCTGTTCTATTTGACTTAAAGGATGGTTAGAAGGATGAAAATGTATATGGACACTCCGTAAAGGATTATATAAATGTTGAGACCTCTGAGTTAGTGGGGGGAGGGGGAGAGGTCTTCTGGTCCACGAGGCTCAGAATTTTGTTATCACATTTGACCCCTACATTCCAATCAGTTACCAAGTACTAGCTGAACTGACAGAAGTACTAATGGAATTGAGATAATCCCTCTCAATTCTTCCTCTGAAATATTTCTAATACCAATCCCTGCTTTTTCTATCTTCTTCCTAACTTTTCTTTCTTGTTTCTTAACTGGTCTCTCTATATTTAGTTTTTTTTTCCCCCCCCTCTCTCTATCTTGCATGCTGATAAACCTTCCTATGATGATTTCATATCACCAAAAGAATAAAGCCCAAATTTCTTGGCAACACACCATGGACCACTTGATCCAAACTACATTACCTTCAGTGACTACCATACACCTCATTCAAGCATCCTACTTCAACCACAACTATTTGCCATCCTGCTAACACTTTAAACTTATCATCCCCATGTCATTGCGACTATTTGGAATCACCTGTCCTTGCCTCTACATATTTCAAGAAATGTCCAGATCAAAGAATATTTTTCTATGAAGCTTTCCTAAATTCCCTAGTAAGAATTTTTCCTTTTTGTTTCCATGGTATGTTTATTTTGTACCTTAATCATATACTTATCAATTTGTCTTGTATGAATTAAGTGTTTAGATTCATTATTATGCACACTTATTATGTCTACATGATAGGGGTTAGGGAAGATAATAATAAATGAAACGTGGTCCAAGTTCCTATTCCTAGTCTTCAATAATCTCATGAGGAATACAGAAATGCAGCAAGGATCAAGGTATAATATAATAAATATATTAAGAAATGTCTGAAAAAATTGAAATGAGTGCCAAAGAAGAAACAATTCATTTCAGCTGGGGTGGAAGTGCAGGTAGCTGGGAAGGCTTCAGAAAGAAGAGAGATGGCATTTGCTAGGCCTAGACAGTAAGTTCCTTGAGGTTGACAGTATGCCTTCTTTATCCTTGTATCTCCCTTAGCAGCTAACAATGTCTTGCATATACTAGGTACTTCATGAAATTAACTGAAACAAATGAACTTCAGATGGACAACTATGTTGATTTATAAAACAAACGCAGGCAAGGAAAAAAGGTAAAAACCATGATGGTACACATTTCCTAATTTAAAGCCTTATCAAGAAGGCTAGTCTGTATCACAAAATGATGACAAAATTAACACAAGGCCAAAGAGCTAAAAAGCTTTAAAAGTAGAATGATTTATATTCTATTAAAAACCTCTCCAATAGAATCTTTTGAACTATCTCAGTAAAGTTAAGCGGCGTAGTGGTTAAGAGCTTGGCTGCTAACCAAAAGGTCAGCAGTTCGAATCCACCAGCCACTCCTTGGAAACCCTATGGGGCAGTTCTACTCTGTCATATAGGGTCTCTATGAGTTAGAATTGACTCGATGGCAACAAGTATTTTCCATTAGTAGATCTGGGTTACTTAAAGTTCTGATGGAATTATCTAAAATTGGTAGAAATGAATATGAATCAAGCATCAGCCTGTGTACTGCTGTAATTTTCATTCAAAAGATAAAAGTCATACTAAAAATGTTTAGAGGCAGTATGGAATAATGGTTAAAGAGCATTAAAAAAAATTAAACAAACCCAAACTGAAACCCAACTACCTAGGTTTGAATCTAACCACTTACTAGCTAGTTTAACCTTGGGCAACTTATTTAACATCTCTGTCTCAGTCTCATCTGTAAAACGGTACTAATAATAGTACCTATGTTACTAGTGAGTTAGTAATGATTAAATAAGTTATAACATGTACAGAGCTTAGAATAGTACCTGACACAGTAAGAGAACAAAAATGTTATTATCATTATTATAAATATCAGTAATAGCACTGGGAGTCAAATGAGTATGTTTTGGTCTTAAATGTATCAAAAATAGAGATTAAACTGTACTGGCCAACATGACCTAGGGAGGAGAAAAATTTGTTAAAATTTCCCCCCAAATAGTTGAGCCAACAATGGTTACATGCTTAATCCTCTCAATGGGTCAAAGGAGAAAATAAGTCAATGAAAGATAACCTACTACTTGTGACAGAGTAAACTGAGGGAAAGGAACCAGGGAAGAGCTAGACCTGCTGATGTATGGAAGCTGGAAGCAGATAGTACTAGTAAAAGATTTTGAGAATTGCTGCAGATGGTGCTATTTTCATGCTACTTAGATAATGTAAGATCCAAAACCACTCCCCAGCTCTTCCCAGCATAACAAAGATGAGAGGCCTAATGTTCAGCCGAAGTGACAAAAGGAGTTATTAACATTATAAGTGCTCTAAATCACTTTTTATCCTGAGTAGAAAAATAGCTGGCCTATAAAAAAGTATCTTATCCTGGAACCATAAATGAGCCTCTTTTTTGTTAAATTTACTATTAATTTCCTCAAAATACATGGAAGGGTTTGTAAAGAAAATTAAAATTGCTTTTCTATATGTGAATGAGGCTAAAACAGAACTGTACAACAGTAACAGACAAAACAAAGAAGTCAGAAAAGAATACTGGGGTCACTGTAGACATTTAAGCCATAGAGAACTAAGGGGGCAATGGACCAACAGAAAAGTAACAAGGGAAGTCAGGGGCAAAGGATATTAATCTTCCAGCTAGATTAAGAGTATAAAAGCTTCTAAAATGCCAGACTTTTCGTTGAGGCATTATGCCCCTTCATGGCCAAGTAGGCAGGTTTTTATTTCCCACATTCTGGAGCTTAAAATTGGATTTTGATTATTTCTCCCCCCTGTAAAGAGACTTTTTGTAGCCTACAGAACATCTGTGGCAGCATTCTTACAACTAGGTTAAAACCTACATTAGATTCTTATTCTACTCTTTTCTCTGTCCCATTAACTTTTTAAGGTTAATCCTTGTATTATGCTAGTCTACCTTCAGGCCTCCATCTTCTCAACTTAAAAATTAACTAACTAATAAAAACCTGCTGCCATCCAGTTGATTTCGACTCATAGCAACCCTACAGGACAGAGTAGAACGGCCCCACAGGGTTTCTGAAGAGCAGCTGGTAGGTTCAAACTGCTGACCTTTTAGTTAAGCAGCTGTAACTCTTAACCACAGTGCCACCAGGGCTCCAACTACCTAATACAAACAAACACAAACCCGTTGCCATTGAATCAATTCCGACTCACAGCAACCTTATAGGACAGAGTAGAACTGCCCCATAGAGTTTCCAAGGAGTGGCTAGTGGATTCTAACTGCCAACCTTTTGGTTAGCAGCTGAGCTCTTAACCACTAGTACCTAATAGGGACAGTTTAATCTCTTTTCCTGTTCTTTAAACAAAGGATACCAAAATGAAACCAACTTCTTAAGGGACCAACTCCACTTAAAAAAATAAAATAAAAAAGTGGAGTGACAGACAAATAATCATAATAAAATGCTGATGGTTGTTGACGCTGTTATGGGTACAGCACTGATCTATTCTTGTTTATTTTTAGCAATTTTCATTAAAAAGTTTTCTTACAAAATACTGAAAAAATACACTGACAAAAACACCAACTTAGTTATCTTTTTTTTTTAAATGTCATTTAGTAAGTATTTTAAGCATTTTTATTATAATTAGGAGAGAATGTAATCCAATTACTAAAATCATCATATATTACAGTTATCTTATCATCTTCAGAAAAGAAAGGCAAATTCACCAATTAAGCAGATGCCAGTGATACATCTGCAACAACAAAGAGTAAGTATGCTGGATAAAGAAAAACCTCATTGAGAGAAAGACTGTTTATAACTTAAGTCATGTTAGGCGTCTCATAATATCTCAGCTGTGAGGGGGCCAGATTATAGGTGCAGCTGCAACTCTTGACTCTCAAAAGCCCAAGGCCATTTTAAACTTCAGTTTCACACATTCTTACAGAACTAGAAACAGTTATGTAAAGTTCCTGATAATTTCCACTTTTCATGTAGACTATAATCAGGACTTCACACGCACTGTTTCTAGTTCTTCTTAATTTTAAAACTATCTTGTGATAAACATACTCTATACATACTGCGTTTTCTTAAAACTGTCCATGTTATGGATTGAATTGTGTCCCCGCAAAACATGTGTTGGAATTCTAACCCCTATATCTGTGGATGTAATCCCTTTTAGGAATAGGGTTTTGTTTGTTATGTTAATCAGTTTAAGGTGTATCCTAAACCTAATCTGAGTTACAAGCCCATGGAGGCAGATGAACCTATAAGTCCGCACAGAGGCACCTCAACAGAAAGGCCTGGTGATCTAATTCTGAAAAACCAGCCATTAAAAATCCTATGGAGCACGTATAGGGTCTCCATGAGTCTGAACTGCCTTGACCGCAACTGGTTACTGGTATCCTCATAATAACCATATACTTAAAATAAAAAGATCTCAGCCACAGATGTCTGACAAACATGTACAATCTAATGCATATTTCATACAACACTTGCCTCTGGAGTTCCTAGTGCTTTCACAGCATTCAGATCAGATCCTGAGGAGAAAGTATTGTTTGCCCCACGGACAATGAGGCCTTTCCCCTCTGTCCAATTTTCCAATTCAACTACTTTTTCTAGAAGTTGTAGCATCATAACACCTGCCAGAGAGAAGAGGAAGGAAATCACAAATAGATACAAGCCATGAGAAAAACAGAAATAATTTAGAAACTGTAAGATGTCAAGTAGGACTTTCAAGTAATATATTTTACAATTTTTTACTAAATACTCTCATATGTCTATTCTGCTGGTATTACGGAGTATACAAAAGAGGTATATGTGACAGTCCCTTCTTTTAAACAGCTTACAATTTGTTAGTTGTATCTATCCACTTACCTCAGTTAAGAAATCACACCAACACATGACTAGTTAGAACAATTAAAAGAATGTATCATACATATCTTAGGAAAAGGAAACTTGGAGTGGAAAATGTGGGATTTGGCAGTAAGGAAAAATTATTACTTAGAGCAAAGATAAAATCTAGAGATCTGATTCACAGTAGTACATGTGAAAGATGTTAAGTGTCTTTGTCAACAAGCTCACTAAGAGTTATGGGTAAAACACTACTACAAGATCTTACAAGGTATTAATGAATCTATGGTATAAAGAACTAAAGTGAGATTCCTATTCTAGTCATATAAGAGATAGCAAAACAGGATGTTACTTCAAGGAAAGGGTAGTAAATATCATCTTGTTCCATAGCTGGCAAAATGCTCTGAGGAGCCTGATGCATATTATGCAAGTGCTTCATAGGCTGACAATAAGGTGCCTATCAATCACTGATTCTATGATTTCTTGACTGAACAGACTGTCACTTTGATATCATTCCAAAATTTTATTGAAGACTGTTTATAATGGACTAGTTTAAAGCGGAAACAGGAAGCACTGTCATTTTAAGATCTGCTAATCAGTAATTTTGGATATGTTTACATTTGGTGATCTTCCAAGTTCATAAAGTTTATAAGGTTCTCAACATGACTGATTTGACCTTTCTCTGCCTAAGAAAACACTTTAGAAGTCAACGTAAAGGTCTTAGTAGAAGGTTAAAACTAGCAAAGAATCTGACTTAACAAGGTTCCAAAACTAACTATATAAGTGCTATTAAATTATGTATACTTCTTTGGAATATAAATCCCACAATGTCATCAACTATTATTTTCTGAAGTAACCAGTAGTGGGGTGGTTCCACAATAAGTGTTAAATTAATGTTACTGACTCACAAAATGACTAATGCAGCTATCCTTTCTAATTGCTAATTATGACCTAGCTAAAATAGTAATCCTTTTCAAGGATGTCCTAAATGCTTTAGAAATACAGTTCTTGCTCTCAAAGAATTTTCAGTCTAGTAGAACTGCCCCCCACCCCGCCCAAAAAAAAAAAAAAAACACCACATACATTGAGCAAAGAATAAATCTGGATAGGTAAATGTTGAGCTACAATCATCCATTTAAGCTTCTAAAAAATAATGCTGGCCTTGAGCATGAAAAAAACCTCTAACTTGTAGTATATCTTATATTCACTTTTTGACATTTTAAAATAAACTTTAAGAATCAGAAGAAACCTTAAAGAGTAACTGGTTGGGTGATTTTCAAAGACCTCAGCAGCTAGAGGGTATGGGGCTCACTCTTCCAACGCCCAATCCAACCCAACCCAGCCAAAGAGCACTACCCAAATCAAAACAGCTCTCCTTTTATTAGTTTTATATGTCATGCATCAAATTAATAATATATGTTTCCATTTAAATAAAAGGCTTTACTACTTACAAATTATTATTTATAACTATTCAGTAGTAAATTAAAACTAGTGCTCTAGTCTCTCTCGGGCAGTCTTATTTTTCTAATTTTATTTTTCCTAGGTTTATAGTAAAGTTTATGTTTATTAGTCTCTGAACCAATTGAAGGTATGGAGGTGCACTATTCAATAAAGTCGCCATAAGCCACATGCAGCCACTGAACACTTGAAAGGTGGCTAGTTCAAATGGAGATCTGCAGTAGGTGTAAAAAACACACCAGATTTCAAAGACTTAGTTTGAAAAAAGATGGAAATATCTCATCAGTAATTTTTATACTGATTATATGTTGAAGTGATATTTGGGGTATAATGAATTAAATAAAATATATTTTAAGAATTATATTTCCCCAGTTTCCTTTACTGTTTTGAATGTGGCTACTAGAAAATTTAAAATTATATATGTGGCTCATATTTGTGCCTTGCATTATATACATATAATATACTTGCATATACTAATGGTCAGCTGTATAGAGAGACAGCCCTGAATTCTGCTGAGAAAAGTCATCTTGGGTTTAAAAAACCACCATAGATAATTTACAGAGTTTATAGTCCATTGAATTATGTTATATTTATGATTCTATATAAAGTAAAAACACAATAATTTATTGAGACTTTTTTGAGCCTAATATTTCAAATGCTACTAAAGAATATAATTACCGTTCACGAAGTGCATAACTGACAAGCAGGGACTAACAAAATCACCTTGAAATGAGAGTGTTAGGTGGTCAGCAAAGCTACTTATTAGGTCTTGCACAACATCTTGGTAGCATAATTCAAATTTGAGCTTCAGCACAATATTACAAATTACCACATGTCCTGGACCTTCAGGTCTTTTAAATACAAAATTTTTATATTCCAAGAGCTTACCTAGCAAACAGAAGGTATTTGCCAGTATCTAAGAATTATGAAAATGTCAATAAATAGGCAAGAGCAGTGTTTACATTGCCTAATGGGATTACATAATTTATTTGCATTTGTTGTTGTTATTCTACAAAAAGTACCACGACTTTCAAGAATTCTGCCACCCCAGCAAAAATAAAAACCACATGATAGTAGGTTAGATTTAAAGTCATTTTTAACTAGCAAAAGGAAGAACTCTAGTACCTGAGAACGCATTCATTTTCCTTGGATTGTTCAGAGTAAGAATGCCAATGCCACTGTCTTCCTTCTGAAGGTCAACGGATCCATCAGTAAATTGCTGAAGTTTTTTTTTTACTTCTTCTTCAAAGAAGCCATGAGATGTATTATAAGGTGACAGCCCCATCTGAGGTAGCAATTTTGTCCTTGCAGACAGAGACGATGTCTTCAAAAGACCTGCCGCCATTTCTGGAAAAGAGAGATAAGTACCCAATAGTTCAGATGACCAGACACTCACTTTTCTAATATTACATGTTTATGGACCATAGTGATACCTGTTAAAACCCATTGCTGTAGAGTTGATTCCAACTCATAGCAAGCCTACAGGACAGAGCAGAACTGTCCCACAGGGTGTCCAAGGAGCAGCTGGTGGATTCGAACCACCAACCTTTTTGTTAGCAGCCATAGCTCTTAACCACTGTGCCACCAGGGCCCCGCCATAGTGATGGCCCTGTTCAATTGGGAGTACTTTCCTAATTCCAAACAGCACTCTTCCAGGAGACAGAATGGAATTATTTTCCTACCACCCTCTTCTCAAACCAAATAATTTACAAAGTATACCATTTCAATATATCACTGAGACATGATGACATAATTACAGTGCATTTATTGGGATCTAATATACTAGGAAAGTTTAGAAAAAGGTTGCTGTTCTGCATTTAGCACCATCTCCTGCTTCCAGGTAGTCCTTCTCATCATAGCACTTATTTTTTTCTCCAACCCTTTAACTTTTCCAAAATCTAAGAATAAATTCAGTCTAAATGTTCCCTTGGAAACAGTCCCCATGCAGAAATGCTACAAGAGCAATCCCACTATCAGAACTTTTATTCTCAGCACTATCCTTACATTCTGCGATATTTTCATAGAAAAGGCAGGAAGGGGTCCTGAAGAAAATGGGGAAGGAAACAGGAATGCATGCATGGTTTTTGTGTTCCCCAGAGATCTGTCACCCTTCTCTTTCTACTTCATATTTATATACATATGTCCTTCTCTGCTCATAGGCGTTTTTTGACCCTGATGTAAACTTTTTTTTTGACATAGAACGTAACAGTCAGAAAAACATACAAATAATAAGTATGGCTAGATAAATTTTCACAAGGTAAACATATTAAAGTAAATAACACTTGAGCCCCAGAAGGCCCCTTGTGCCACCCTTTGGTCACTACTCCTCAACTAAAGGTAACAACATCCAAGATTAGTTTGCCTGCTTTTGAATTGTATATAAATTGAGTAATACAATCCATATTTTGTGTCTGGCTTCAATTTTATGTTTGTGACATCCATCAATATTATTATGTGTAATTACAGTCTAAATAGTTCATTATTCTCATTGCTATATTCTATCATATGAATATACCACAATTTATTCATTCTAATGTTAATAACAAATTTAGGCTGTTTCCAGGTTTTGGCATTACAAATAGTGCCGCCATAAATATTTTAGTACATGTCTTTTTGTCAACATGTATGCATTTTGTTGGGTATATAACTAAGATTGAAATTGTCGGGTTGGTGTGCTACAGCCCAGCTTATACTGACTGTTAAACATTCAAGAATTTTGCAAGTCAGTTTTTTAAACTATTGGTAGCTTGAAATTGACCATGATGAGAGTATTTACACCAAAAAAAAATGCTACACATCAAACTCTCTCTCTCTGAGTGCACAACTGGTCATAATGTATACATCTGTTCATTTGTTCAACTTTAGAAGACGTTGCCAAAGAGTTTTCCACAGTGACTGTACTAACTGATTTTCCCACAGACAGCGAGAGTTCCAGTTGCTCCACAGCCCTGTTACCACCTGGTACTGTCTCCTTTGCCCCCATTCCCCAAATTTTAGGCATGAGAGCAAGTGACATCTCACTGTGGTTGCACTTTTCATGTCTACAACGTCTAATAAATTAAACCCCCTTTTCAAATACTTATTGGTTATTTGAATATCCTCTTCTGTGAAATGCCTGCTCACGCTTTTTGCCCATTTTTTTCTATTTATTTACCCTTCTATTATTATTAGAGTTGTTTTATTCTGCGCACAGCTTTTGCTAAAACCTGTTAAGACAACAAATGCTACATTTCCATCCCCAGTTCAGACGTTATGCCTGCACTCCTAACTCTAACATAATATTGCCTACCAGAAATGCACTTCCACTAGCCTTCACCTCTAGATGTACTACAGACTTTTCAAAAGCATTATCTCTAAGCCGAAACTTATGTTTCTCCCAAAACCTGTTGTTCCTTCTTTACTCTCTCATTTAACTTTCTGTAGTATCAACTCAGGATTCCACATCGGAAAACCCTTTAAGTCTTCCCCTCCCTCCCTTCCACATGCAATCTATCTCTAAAATGGTTTCTTCTGTCTTATCTTTTCCATTCTCTATTCCTCTACTACTAACATATTTCAAATCTCATTACGTGACATCTGGACTAATACAATGGTCGCCGATTAGTTCCACACTCCTTAAAAGTCAGAGCAATCTTTGTAATCATCAGGTCATTCCAAATTTAAGGTTTTTCAATAGCTCTCTACTGACAAAAGGTTCAAGGCCAAAGCTCTCTTTGATTTCACCCTTACCTAAGTCTTCAATCTCCTTTCACATCACATCTCTACACACAACTTACATGGGAACAACCAGATTTTCACAAATTGCTGTTTATATTGCTCCCTCCTCCAATGATGCCCTTTCCTCTATCACTGACCTGGTAAATCCCCAATTGCCTTTAAAAATTGAATTCCTAAGTTTCCTCCTATACTTGATTCCTTATGCAGAGATAAACACTCCCTTTATTTACTGCAGAGCCCTAATGGCACAGTGGTCAAGTGCTTGGTGGCTAACCAAAAAGTCAGCAGTTCAAATCCATCAGCTGCTCCTTGGAAACCCTATGGGGCAGTTCTACTACATCCTACAGGGTCGCTATGAGTCAGAATCGACTCTATGGCCATGGTTTTGGTTTTGGTTTCGTTTATTTACTGCAGCATAGTACACTGTAATATATTATTCCATTTTAACACATTTCACACATCATTTTATTTTCTCACTTGTCTTTCTGAATAGGCAGGAAACTTCCTGAGAACAGTTCTCTGAGGTATATACATACCCTGTGTCACTAGGGCCAAGTACAGTGCTCAAGACATAAAAGGTACTTAATAAATGGTTAATGAGGGAAAATATGGGAAAGTGAAAAAAAATCATCAGGTAGCAAAATAGAATGTCGTAAGCTTTTTTTTTAAAGCTTAAAAAATGCCTCTAATGTGTAAGTTAAAAAACAGCATCAGAAACAGAGGGATAACATGGCACCATAAAGAAGGTTACAATACAATCGCTCTTCCTTACACTTTAAATTGCTTCATTCGCACGATATTTTTGTCACATTCTCGCAAAACACTTGGTACATTTTAAGTACACAGTAGAACGCAGTTCCCCAAACAGATATACTTTGAGAGTTTCAGAACAGTATTTCAAAATTTCACCCACTAAGGTGATCTGGAAACCCAATATTAAAAAAAAAAAATCAAGATGTTTCTTAAATCTCATCAAAGAGACTAAAATGTAATTAATATTAGATAAATTGTAAGTGCCCGGCTGCTATCCAAACGGTTGGCAGTTCGAATCCACCAGTCATTCCACAGAACAATGTGGCAGTATACTTCCCTAAGGATTACAGCCTTGGAAACTCTATGGGGCAGTTCAACTTGGTCCTATAGGGTTGCTATGAGTCGGAAACAACTCGATGACAACGGGTTTGTTTTGTTTTTTTTTTTTGGTTATGCTGTAATATAGACTTTAACAAAAATGAAAGGAGTGCTGGTCTTAAGCGAACGATATCCAAGAATAAAAACTTGGTATTATTTTTCAAAAAAAAAAGGTGTTCCAACTTTCCTTCATATGTTCTGGGATAGGGCCTGCTTTCAACTGTCATAACTTTATTCCATCCTCTAACATCAAATTCCTTAAAGCCTTAAACTCTGCACTCCATAATTAACCCACCTTCTTTCCTATCAGGAAATGCACTAATTAGTAAATATCAGGGCTGACAAACTGACAGCTCTTCCACATTTTATAAACTGAGTTCGGTTACCATAAAGCAGTCCCCATTATTTGCTCACTCATGGATAAAGGGAAAACTTTTTTAAGCTTAAGTTCTCAAATGTTCCAAAATGTCAATCAAATACAGAAAATGATATAACTGGACACTCATCTTTCATCTATTATGGACATTAACATTTTTGTCATAGTTCCTTCAGCTCTCTTTTTAAAAACTTTTCTATGAGAAACAGAAGATGAGGGGACTTCAAAGCTAAAATGTTATTACTGATTAATTAGTATGAAGTGATTGTGGGAAAAAAAAATGAGGATTTTGGAAGCTTCCTAAGCTATTACCAAATGTAAATACGAAGTTACTTCAAGATCTCTTAGTCAGCTAGTAGAAGAAACCTAGAGTAAAAATTTCAGAAGTTACTAAGAGATGACAAGCAATGGGGCTTAAAACAAATTAGCTAACCAAACCTGTATTCTCATGACAAGGATGTGTTTATTCTTAAGTTTAAGTATGTTCATAAGTCCCAGTTATGTTCATAACCCTCCCATCTCTGACCACTATTCTTTTTCACCTCCACTTTTCAATATCCCTAGACCCATATTCAGGGATTAAAGTCTGTGGGGAAAACAGGTAAATATATGAAAACACAGCATTTAACAAGACTTCTGAAGCCTTCTTTACTTTTAAAAAGACAAACTTTGAGAAACACACAAAATGACTAGATTAGCAATTAAAGTAACTTTTTAAAACAGGACGGTATTCTTTACTGGATTATTTAAGGCAAACAATACCTAGAATCTTAGTTGCATTGTGAAAAATTACAAAAAAAATAAATAAAAGGTTGATTAGTTTCTCTGCATACGGACTGTTAAGGAAACTACACTTATATGTAGGTTTTTATGGCTAAGAAATTCATGAAATAGGTATACATGCACATGCATATGGTAAGAGATTAAGTAACAGACAATACAAAGTCAACATCTGTAGTTGATAATAGACATTTTACAAGACTCTGGTTAGTAGTATTCTCCATACTTTAACTGATATTTGATCAAATTTCCCTCACAAGATGTTATAGGTTACGACTAGCCCGAAACAGTCTCTATAAGTTTCAGAATGAGAAGCAATTTGCCCAGTGGGTACAAAGGTTAATCTCTAGTAACTGTTTAGCGGCAAATTTAAGTGGGACAACTTCAGACTTGATCTGATCTCCCCTCCGCATCCTTACCAACCCTCTTCCAGAGAAACATACTGGTTTTGAACCAAACGTAAGTAACCCAGCCAACCTAAGATTGCTTTCTGTAGGAGGCAATAAAGTTAACCTAATTCCACTGGTAATGCCTGTTTTGGATTCTCTTGGTTCTGTTCTACCTCCTTTTCCTCTCTTCTGGATTCTCTCTAATGAAGCTGGTGTGGTAAAAGGAACCTGGGGCTGTCTTCAACTTGGGAACTGTCTCAGCTTAAAACATCAAGTAGAATAGTGCTCAGGTCCTTACACCTGCTTCTAGTCTAGGAGAAATATGCTCTTAAGGTCACTTACCAGCTCAGTTCACAAAGCCAGCAGGCCTACATACACAAAGCCAAACACGATGTGCCCAGGAGTTTGCTTTTGCCTGGAGTATGCTCTGTGCATGTTTTGCCCTTGGGAATGAGGCAAATATAAAAGACAACTCAATGGGGAAAATTCAAGCAGAGGTCCTATTTTCTTCATATTAACCATGACTTCAGTATAGAAGTGCTGAAGAAACCGGATAAGGACTTACACAGCTGCAGTGTGATGAATTACTTTTGTGTGTGGCCTTTCTAGCCAAGGGCTTGTAACTCCCACCCAGGTGATTGTGTGATAGCATAATTGTGGCCCACCAAGGGGACTAATCAATTCTGCCTTAAAAGAGAACCAATTCCAGAGCAGAGAGGAGGGCTCCACCACCAAGGAAGGAAAGACCATTGGGAGAGACCCAGCAGCAGAGAACCAGCAGCAGGAGATGGCATGGTGGGCTTCCTGGCCCATGGAGAGAGAAAGCTGGATGCCTCTGGGTAGAGACAAGGCCCAGGGAGAGGCGTGCCTATGAGCACAGCTGGGAAGAGGCTACCCTGATGGAAGAATTGTATCTTGAGTGTTCCTGAGCCTGAATTGTAATTGTTACTTCCCTAATAAACCCCATAATCGTGTGTATGGTCTATGAGTTCTGTGTGGCCACTGCAATGAATTATTGAACCCAGTAAAGAGTGCTGCGGGAGGGTCGGCTGGTGTCAGAATTGGTAAAGACGGCGAAGATGTCTGACCCCCGCTGCACAGGAATCAGCCTTGCACTGTTAATCTTAGTTCTCCTTCCCCCTTATGAGGTTAAAGGAGGTCAGACACTGCCCCCAAGCCGTTTTTACAACAGATATTATAAATTTGCCTATCTTTTCCACAATACTCTTTCCAGGGAAATGAATAAAGTCTTCAAATAGAAATAGAGGCTTATAAAATTATTAGCATTTTTAATTATTACTGTGAGATAAAAGAATTAATAAACAACATATCTCCTGCTCTCATTGTAAGAAGCCTGTCTGCTCTGTCTTGATACATTACCTCTCCCTCCAACATCCAACAACACAAGGTGAATTAGTATGGATGCCATCAGATCTACATCCTCTTATTCTTAAATCATTAAAAACATAAATAGTCATGAAACAGGAACATTTCTGGCTCATAAAATGTCTTTGGTCAATCTTTGAAATGCAGATTTTTCCAAGAAAATTCTATAATAACTACTTCATGCATCGTTTTCTCTATTAAATCCATTTTTATTGTGCTTTCTTCTCATTCCCTTTGCCCTTTCCACTACTAATTTCCCCTTCTTTTCTCTCCTCCCCTCACATTCCTTAGTTTGTGCCAAAGTTTTACCAGAAAAACTCAAGAATACTGCTTAAGCCTACAAAGTTTGCTGAGGCCAAGTTTAGGATTCCAATTCTAGAAATTCAATAATAGCCTATTGTGTATGCTTTTGTGCCAATTTCCATACTAATTTCTGAGACTAAATTGAACAAGAGTTCAGTAATGAGGAGAGGACAAGGCATTACGAAAAACCAAACCTGTTTTTGTCTGACTCAATTCCAACAAGGTGTTAGCCACTATTAATTAAACTAGTACTATAATAACTGAAAGTGCAAGCGAACGAAGCTGAATGTTCAGGTTCTACATAAGCGTGTAGTTAAAAATATAATTAAGCAACAAGCCTAAGCCAGGCAGTAAATGGTGAAAAAACGAGAAATGTTTTATTTTAGACTGTCAATATACAGGCAGTCCCCGAATTACGAGTGTCCGACTTACGGACAACTCATATTTAAGAAAAGACTCTGATAAAGCCTATTACATTAAAAATTCAAGTTAAATACAATGGTTCATAAAAACGAATGCATGCACTATGGTACTTTGTAACGCTCATGAAAATACCGTGAAGTTTGGAAGTGTTTCTTAAGTGTTTCATATGCATAGAAAGGTAAAACATATACTATATACTAAAACAAATATTTGACGCTAAATAAGAACTATATGTACCTGTTTCAGCTTCCTACAAATTCGACTTAAAGACAGATTAAGGAATGGATCTCGTTGGTAACCTAGGGACTGCCTGCATAACCTGTGTCTCAACATTCTATTTGACTGTAAGCTTTCATTATATAAACCTACTTTCAAGTTTCATTACAGGCCAACCACCTCCCTCTCCCTCACACAGCCACAATGAACTTCTTTCAGTTCCTCAAATCCTTCAGGTTTTCTCTTCATTCCAAGTCTGTATATGTGATCTGTCTACCTTTTAGGGGTTCCTGGGTGGCAGAAGCAGTCTGCAATCAGCTGCTGAACTAAAGGTTGGCAGTTCGAGCCCACTCAGCAGCACCACAGAAGAAAGGCCTAGTAATCTGCTTCCATAAAGACTGCAGCCAAGAAAACCCTATGCGGCAGCTCTACTAGGTAACATATGCGGTCAGCATGAGTTAAAATTGACTCTAGGGCAATGGGTTCTGCCTGTTACACCTTTCTCCAAAGAAATTCCTAGTCGCCTCGTCTGGCATTCTCGACTATTTCCTTACTTTCTACCCTCACAACCTTATCATAACTTTCACTCACATTTTGCTGCAATTACTTCTTTAACCGAATCTTTCCATTAGATTTAGCTTCAAGAGGGCATTTGCATTGCCCAGAACAGTGTCTAATAAATACTGATATCCAATAATGATTTTCTAAAACTAAATTCCACATAGGGACGTAAGAATCTGGCCACAAACCAACTCTACAATTACCACATTTATTATTCCCACAAATCACCCTTTCTCAACTCCATGTGAAGACAAGCTGGTTTTGCTTCTGAAATGGGTATCACCGCGAATGCCCCAGTATATTACTGCTAATCATTCACATCAGAACCCAGTAAAATGTTAAGATCAGCTGATTAATTACCATGCTCCTCTCCCCGCCCCCACAGATTTCACAATTATATTTTCCCCCAAGGGGAAAAAGAGAGTTCTAGGTCTTCAAAGAAGAAGTCCTTTGTTGTTTCTGCCCATGTTCCCTTTATTTATACATTTCTATCACCTAGAGCAACACCTAGTATGCGATAGACTCTCAGATTTCGCAGTAAGTTAAGGAAGGTGGAGGGTAGGTTGATTTAGAGATTCTTTAAAGGTCCTTATCAGCCTTTTTTGTAAGTAACTCATCTGTGATTTTAATCTTCACTCCTTTATGTGTGTGCAGCATTAAAAGGATATTGCGGCTTAATCTGGAAGAATTCCAGAATGAGAGACCCCACCCCAAAAGATGAGTTGGTTACTTTTTGCTGAAAAGTTAGCTGCCCGAAACAAATGTAAGATAAATTTTAGTTAAGCACAAGATAATTTAATACTTAGAGACAAAGATAATTATAGAGGTCCAAGAAAACCGTACCTAGTTAGCACCAAACCAAAAACCAAACCCATTGCCATTGAGTCGATTCCGACTCACAGCGACCCTACAGGGCACAGTAGAACTGTCCCATGGGGTTTCCAAGCAGCGCCTGGTGGATCTGAACTACTCACCTTTTCGTTAGGGGCTTCAAAATATTCAGAAGTTTTATTACTGCGTTGAAATCAAACCTCTGTGTTCTTTTGAATGTTAATGTCAGCTATTTCTCTACGTTCTCAAGAAAAATTTACTCATCTTTCCCACCACACTCTTAAGAGTACAAACCTAGGTTTTATACTAGTGTTGCACACAACTAATAGTTGAGGCTTCATTCACCTTGGAGGAGTCCTGAGAGCGCCACGGTTAAAGCGCTGGCCTGCCCAACAAAAGGATGGCGGTTGGAGCCCACCAGCCGCTCCGATGGATAAACATTACAGCCTTGGAAACCCTATAGGGCAGTTCTAATCCCCTTACATGGTCGCAGTGAGTCGGAATCGACGCGAAGGCAGTGGGTTTGGTTTGGCATTCACCTTGCAAGGTCGGTCGGCGGCGCTCAGCACCTGCGTTCCCAGTCCAGCAAAGGGCAGCGGGCCTGCGCGGCAGTTCTGCAGCAAAGAGCCGCAAAGTTGGAGCGGATCGTCGTTTGGAATTCGTGTGGAGAAACCCTGAAGTCCCTTCCCCAGAGAGGATTCTGTCCCGGCTGTAAGTATACGTAAAGCGTAACAACGCCGGGCCGATGCACTTCCCGCACTGCGCAGGTGGCCCTTACGGCGACGCAAATTCCTCTTCCGCAACCCCTTCCGCTGCGTCCGGAAATCTCGCCCCACCGCAAGGGGTCTCCTTTCCCGCGGGCTAGTTGCAGTCTCTCACGCTCCCTGGTGTTGGCAGCGAGTCTGGGAGGTTGGCTCTTCTGAAATGTGCTTTGTGTTTTCGCTTCTGCCGCACAGGGTTGGGGCTGGAGGGCAGCCGTTGAACCCTGGTTGTTTTCGAGTTCCCAAGTGGACTTGGGAACTTGGGAAAGAAGTAGAGGAAGAAAGCCAATTTAGGGCAACATCAAAAAGAGAGGGGGAAAAAGATAGCAAATGTTGTCCCTTTATTAGATATCTGTCTTATTGAGAGGGAAACAGTATTTTTAGTTTATCTTTTTTTTTTAATCGAATACTCAATACTGAGTTTGATGTGGCCTTTATAAAGCTAAGTAAGCTAAATGTCTGTGTCAATAACGTACCTATAGTACGGCATAGAGAGGGAGTGCTTCGGAAGAAATCTGAAAGGGAAGGTCATTTTGTCAAAGAATAGAGATTGAAGGTAGGTCTTACATAGTCGAGAGGGTTTGAATAAGAGGAGTATTTACTGATGATTTAGAAAATAATATTGGAATCATTATTGCCTCTCCTTGAGCATAGAGGGTGTGATCCAGCTGGAGCTGGGCTCACAAGGGCTCACAAGGATACATAAACTGGGCCCTGAGGTATAAAGACAATAGCGAAGATACTCTTGGAAAATATGCTTTAGGGAACCTTTCACATAAGCCAATCAAACAGAACACAAAAGACTTTTCACTCTTTTTTTATGAGCATTTAGTGAACAGAAATTTGTTGGACCAATGAAGACCCTCCTGACTATCTTACTGAAACCTGTACCAATGATTGTTAAGAAAGGCAATTCAAAATGTAGGATCACAGTTTCTAGCCAATCTGTGAATAGGTGAAGGTTTTAATCATTTGTAATGTAAATATATATTGATGACTCTGTAAGGTTCTTTGGACTCAGGCAGACATGACTGTGGCAGCATGCTGGTCCATTTTCCCGTTCTTCCGTATTTTGTAATATTCTTTGGACTTAGACAGACATGGCTCTAGCAGCATGCTTATCCGTTTTTCCACTTTTGTCTGTTCTGTGATGTTTCCTCGGGCAGACATGGCTCTGGCAGCATCATTGTCTATTTCCCACTTCTGCCTTTTTGAATATATGCCAAATAAAACTTCCTTTTTATTAAACTTTGTGATGTTTTTCCTCTACAACACTGGAGGAACAGAGATGTATATGATGTAAAGGGAAGAAGTGGGAGCTGAGTTTGAACTGGTATGGAGAAGTTATTAAACTAAAAAACCAAACCTGTTGCCATTGAGTTGATTCCAACCCATGGTGACCCTATTTGTTACAGAGTGGAACTGCTCTATCGGGTTTTCTTGACTGAAATCTTCACAGATGTGGATCACCAGGCCTTTCTTCCACTGCTTGGTGAGTTTGAACCACCAACCTTTAGGTTAATAGTCAAGAGCAAACTGCACCTCCCGGGGACCTCAGAGCCATTATTAGAGGCATTAAATGCCTATGCAGTGTGAAATGTGCAATTTAATCTATTACACTTTGTTGAACAGGAAAGTGACTCAAATGGTGATCTGGGAGAATTAATCTACCATTTTGCAGGGTGTGTGGGGTTCATTAGATCTATTAATTATTTCACAGGTTCGGTATGTAATTTTCGATACTGCAGCTTTTTTAGTAGTGACAGCTGTGGTAAGAAGCTTTGGACATTGTAATCCTTAAGGTTGTGTATCAACTTGGCTGGGCCATGATTCCCAGTGGTTTGGCAGTTATGATGTAGTTTAGCAGTGGTATAATGATGTAATCACATCCATGATGAGATCTGATGTAATGTGATCAGCTCCATGACGGGATCTGTGGTGAGTAGCCAATCAGTTGAAAGCAAGCATCCTTGGGGGTGTGGCCTGCATCCAATATAGGTGGACTTTCTGGCAAGGCTTGCAGGCTTTTGTGCTCTGGATCCTGCAGCTGGCTCCTGTTCATCTGACCTCTGGTTCTGGGACTTGAGCTAGCAACTGACCTGCTGATCTTGAGATTCATCAGCCTCTGCAATCTGTGAGCCAGAGGCCTGCCAGCTTACCTGCTGATCTTTGGATTTGTCAGACTCTGCAGCCTGTCAGCCAGAGGCCTGTTGTCTGACATGCCTATCTTGGGTTGGCCAGCTCCTACAGCTATGTGAGTCAGGAGAAGCCTCCAGCCTGACCCACAGACTTGGAACTT